CTTAAAGAAAAACTTACAAGATACTTTTTACATACATTGCTATGTTACTTTACTCACAGATAAAAATGTTGCCTTACATAAATAAAAAAAAAGAGACAATTTTAAATATTTATAGAGTAATAGTAGCACACAAAGCGCTAATTTATTTTGGAAATTAAATCATGCTTAGAAAATTATAACCCAAGTCAATTTAATTATTAAATATAAGTTTATTTGTTTGTATTAATTAAAATATGGATAGGCCGGCTCATAAAAAATGATCGGCTTCGGTTTTTGACTGGTTTCCAAAATCGTCTATTCGGTTCTCGAAATAGGTCATTTTTAATAAAATTATTAAAAATAACAGATAGGTATTATATCCATATTATACAAATTTTTACTATAATTATCATTGTAATCTCGCGTAAAACTACGTTTTTATACCATTTTATGATACAATTTTTCTGTAATAATGATTATTTCACATACTTCAATAATTATTATTTATTAGCATATTATTATACATTCCGAAATGCCATTGCAGGCGTAGATATGTTAAATTTTGAGTTGGATACGTCATTTCTTAGTAAGGTACCTACCTACATTATTTGCAGGAACAATTAGTTGAGTACGGAGTCTTGTGTTAGAGGCGTATAGTACGCACCTCTACAATGGTCTGATTATACATAATCATGGTTCCACCGATGACGTAGCATACTTTTAAAACATCAAACAGCGTATTATTTTTAAAATTAAAAAAAGAACCGGTACCAATAAATTATTTTATTAGAGAACCAATAGAACCGAAGAACCGAGAACCTATCCTTAATTTAAAATTATTATAAATTTACAGAAAGAAAAATAATAAAGTTATTAATTAATTAGTCAACTTGAGTATTGTGTTGTCACTTATCAGTTATAGATATGAAAATTATTTTAATTATATTTAAACGGTTTTCATTTTTAAGCGAGTCATAAGAATTTTTAAATTTTAATAGTATAATATACTCATAACTTTAAAAAATAAAATATCGTAAAAATCTTCATTGTTCTTACTTTTAAGTTTGATAATAATAAATACTATTTAACTTAAGTTTTGGTATGTTATACATTAATAAGGCTAAGACACCACATGCGGTTATGAAGTTTTTTTTTAGTCAAACTGTAATTTGTGGAATTTTGTTGCTAGCCGCTGTACATTAGAATAATAAATGTCGAGTGTATCTTGCTATTGGGTATGTCACTTTAATGTATATTTTATTAAATTTGAATGATAATTATAATTGTAAGTGAAAATCAATTTTAAATGAAGAGGATCGTCATTCATCAGTCTATATAATATATTACTAAAATATTAAACAAAGTATGTTTCGTAGTATATTTATGTTGCTATTATAGCAAATTTATTTTACTATTAGAATTTAATAATACAGTAGATTGAATTAATTTTTATAGAAACCTTGTATGAATTTGATTATTATAATCGTATATATTTATCAGTTTATAACAGTTAATATTATTATTAATAGATCTTGAGTCAATATTGACTTACTGATGAACTGTGTGAATATAGGTTTATGGTCTAAATAACAATAACAATAACATACAATTTATATAAATGTTTTGAAAATGTTATACAATGTTTATAAAATATAATGATAAGCGTAAAAGTTTCAAATTATCACAAAATATATTTAAAAATTACTACAAAATAACATAAACTGTTATAAAAAGAAAAGTTATACAGATATGAAAACAAATTATATAGGATTCTGTATTAAATTTTCAAGAATTTTGAACTAATGAATAATTTTTTATTGAAAATTATAGAAAAAAAATTGAAAATTTCTCATACCTAAAAATAGTTCAAAAAGAGTTAAATATTTTGAAAATTTTTACTGTAAATAGAAAATGACAGTATACACATTTGATCAAAATTGTAAATACCTACGGTAATTTGTTTTTGAATTACACACAAAAAGAAAACAATTGCTTTTAATAATTAAAAAAATATTATACAAAGACTCCGATTTAAAATCAACACAATATAATCATAATAATTACAATATAATAAAAATATATATCAATTATAATTTCAACTTATTTAGTTGTCTTCATTTATTATTTAATAATAACTATTTTATCAATTATTAGTAAAACAATAAAATAAATATGATAAAAACATAATATTATCATAATATTCATAACTATTACAATTATGATGATATAAGATTGAAGGTACCAATAAATAAACAAGCGTTACTCAACAATACATTTTAATATCTACTTAATTATTACTTAATAAATATACGAGTATTGCATAAAGATATGCCGTTTTTTTATCGTTGAACATAACTTTATTATTAAAGTACATGTAGGTGGCACTCAATACATATGTGTAAATATATTAGTACAATAATATTTTAATTTATAATAATAATGTTTACCTAATTTACGTAATCGTACAATTAATACGATAGTATATATTATAATGCACACATAGTGTTATAACTTATAGGTAGGTACTGCAAGTTGTAATTGTTTTATATTCATACAAAATAACCATGATATTAAATTCTAAGTATTTCTAAGTTTATGCTTATCATGCAAATAGTATGTATTTGTTAAATTTTAATAATATAATAATTGAGAATTAGAATATGTATTTTGAATGACAGAATTACACAATATCACTATTATTTATTACGTTTTTCTACCAGCATGTACTTAAACTTTGAACTTGTTTATATTTCATTTAAACCATAAATTATTTTGTACATCACTACCTACGCCACTATAGCAGTTTGGCAATTGGTTTTAGGAGCAATACTTGATAATGGGACGACATTTCGTAATTACTTACCAGTTTTAGTATAAAAGTCAGTCCGGAATCTTCTTTACTTAATTCCAGATTTCAACAAGTCAATAGTTAAATTATTCATTTTCAAAAATAATGTTCTTTTACCTCTCAGTTACCTAAGTATTGGTTTACTAATATTATTATTATTATTATTTTTTTAAGATAGGTCAATAAGTGGGTATCGTTAAGTTAGTAGGTATGTGTTTTTTGATATAGTTATTAAAGTAATTTATTTTACTATTAGTATTAGAGTAAGTTGATTTAATTTTTACCAAAAACATTGCATTTATTAAATATTATTAATATTTAATTATGATGTTTATATTTATTTATATTTTATTCCATATTATGTTATTGTTATTAACTTTTGAGTTGATACGATCTTACCGTAAAACAGCGTGAATAAGTTTATAATATAAACAAGAAATATTTTGAAAATTTTATTACGTGATATAGAAAAATTTATAATTTACATAAAAGTTTTATACTTCCACGAATAGTTTTTTTGAATTATAACAAAATAATAATTATTGTTATAAACATTATTTAAATACATATGTTATTTCGTCAAAATTTGAACTTCAGATAATTATTTGTATATACATTTCTTAGATTTAATAATAAGTATTAATATGAATTATATGCGTGAGAAATGTATACAATTTTAAGTTTGAAAACCTTAGCTATAAAAGTTGAAGATCTTATTAATTTTTTTACTACAATACTTGTTATTTGTATATTTTTTTGATTTTGAAGAATTTAAAAAAAAAGTTGAACTTCAAATAAAGATTAAAAAATTGAGCTTATGATGTATTTTTGAAATTTTTTTACAGATTTAGGAATGACTTATATGAGATCCTATATAAAATTTTCAAAATATTCGATGAACAATTGTTTTATTATTTATAGATAAAAAAATATTGTTTTTTAAATCAAGTGTCTGGAAATTACTTAAAAATAGTTAAAATATTTAAAAAATTATACTCTATGTAAGAAATATAAACATAAACATTTAATGGCAATTTGTAGTATATATGGTTAGGTATTAAGTTGTACATTTTTAAGATTTTTTAAGCCTCATAAAAAAAATACTGTGAATATACATTTTTAGTATTTTTTAATTGGTAAATGAATAACTTGTGTTGTACTTTGTATTTACTATTTATTTAAATATTTATTAATTATATTCAATTTTTCATCAAAAACCACCTTCAAATTTGACAATAAAAACATTTATCAACTACTTACTGCGTGTGCACACGCAACCATACACATTATCGTAAAATATCAAAATTAACACATTCATCGCTCCATTCAGTATCTTATAAAGTTTGTATAAATTTGCTGCTGGCAATGCTCACGAAGTCTGCGCCAATGATTTGAATTTGAACTTGTTCGATACCCAACTATAATTTATAATTATAATATCGTTCCAAGGTTTGCCCAAAAATGAACATATGGCCATAAATAATAGTTTTAATTTTTAATGTCTTAAAAATAATTGTTTTTCTCAAAACTTTTATTCCTAAAAAGGTACTAGAAAGGTATAAATTATATTTTTATTTATGACTATCATCGTGTAGGTCACGTGATTAAAAGTAATGAGTAATAAGGAAATAGGAAATAGGAATTCTCAGATACCCATGTATAGATTGTAGACTACGCATAGAAATATAAACAAGTTAGATAGACAGGTGACAGCTTATATATTATTATATATTTATACCATTTACGATTATTATTATTATTATTGTTATAGGTTTGTATTCTAGTTGTCTATATATTTAGGTTATTGTGTGTACCTTAGTACCTATTTATGTATAACATGATATATATATATATATATATATATATATATATATATATTAGGTACCATAATGTTGTTATAAGGTTAAGGTCTAAACCGTCTAAACAAGTATCTAAAATGGTATAATAAAAATCTAAAATCTTTCTAAGTCTAGGTTTTCTTTTATTTTTATTTTATTTCCGTCATACTAGACGAACGGCGGAAAAAAACACATCGGGTATTCATTAAAAACAAAAAAGAAAAACAAAAATTATAGCTATTATGCTTACAAGATAGGACTTGAAAATTATTGATGCTGTAATCTTTAATAATATTACAACATAGTATTATATTATTGTACAATACAAAAGTTGTACTTAGACAATAATAAAATTACAGACTATGATCAGTATTCAGTATGATCAGACCACCGGATGAGTAGGTAGGTAGTATATTATGGTCATTTCACTTGTCCGAGTAGTTCGCCCGTCACAGCTGACCTATATTGGTTGTGCTGACGTCAGTTTTCCGTCGCCGCACGTGGCATCACTGTGCAACTGTTGCTGCCGCCCAGCGTCCGTTTTATTTCGCGTGTTGGTTGGTAATCGCCTCGCACACACATGCGTCGCGTGTTCACTATACACTTCTCGGCAACGTTACGTTTCCCTGGTTCCCGTGTAGCGTGTTCGGCAGTACGGTCTTCAGTCGTCATTCGTCAGTCAGCCGTGTTCTGTCGTTATCGTTTTTCGCGCTCTCTGTGCACTGTTCTTTATTATTATTTTGACATTTTTGACGTATCAAATTTCGGCGCGTTATCAATTTTCCGCCCGTTCTCTCGCCGTTGATACGCGACAATATTCCGAATCGTAGCTGCAGGTGCAGCTTACTAGTACGGTCCACGACGATATCGGCAATATCATACTTCGGTCATATTACGCCCAAATATCGATTTCCAGTTGGCCGGGAAACCGACATAAATTTTAAGCTAAATTTCCGAATCAGGTCAGTACTCGATACGCTTCGTCGTAATTCGTCATTACTACTGCAAACGTTTAATGTAATAGTTGTGTAAATGTGTTTTATCCATTTATTGCGATCATATCTGTCGACCACATTGCATTTGCTGTGCGAGATTGTTTAGGCCGTTTAGGGTGTATTGCAACTGATAGGAGAAAAAATTAAAAACACTTAGGTAGAGGTGGATGGGTAGATTAAGTTTTGTGTTCACAATTTATTATAATGTAATCTTTATCAATTCATTTGAACATTATCATAACATGATATTATAATTTCATTGATAAATGAAAAATAATTATATAACTTTGTTTTTAATTAATTTATTATAGTCAAATAAGTACTCTAATAAATTTGTTAAACCTGAAAAGTTATTTAATTATAAATAACCTATGTTACCTATGTATTTGGTATTTTTGACAGTGAATTATTATATAGGTAGCACTTGCATATTATTTAAAATATAGATAACTGATAACCCGGTTACCTGTTGTAGAAATCAATCTATATAAAGTATCTATCTATGTATTTTTGAATAATATAGTTGTATCATAATAATAAGTAGGTACTCATATTAAAGTAAATATAATTTTTTTCACGAATTTGGTGTTATGTAATTCGTTACACAATTAATTTTAATCGTAGAGCTTGTACGGATGTTACGAATAAATTGACAACGTAATATTTTTGTGATCTTATTATATTTTGTTAACACTGAAACTACTATTGCATTTTGTAAACAATTATAGGTATCTATTAGTTTTACAATAATGTGTTTTCACATAATTTTTTTTTTTCTTAGGACAATAGATACATTTTACATCCAATCAACATAAATTGTATTATAAATAGGTCAATTTTTTTTTTAATTTAGTAAAAAAATTGCATTATAGAAAATGTGTAAAAAAAACTATGGAATGTGTTACGCGTCTGTATTCAACAAAATCTTCTCAATTTTTTTGGTTTATTGAACTGCATGTAAAATGGTTTCATGAATGTCATGATTTAAAGTTCTCTATGCATTTATAAAACATGTAACATAAAAAAAAAAATTATGCCTACAATTCTGACTTACTTACATCGATGTGAATGAAATGAGACGATTGTCCAAAACAAGACCTAACATAAATGGTTTGAATTAGGAACAATATTATGGATTTTATTGTTTACGGCTTTTGTGTTCCTCAGCAATAATATTCGAGATTCGTATTGCACCTGCGGTAAAATAATCGCGGTTATAATATATATTATACGGTATTTAAATTATAAACGTACAGCATATTTTATGCACTCTGTATATAATCATACAAACTGCGCGTAAGTAATAAAAAATATAATAGTAAAAAGAAATATAAAAATGGATGTTCAAAGACTTAACGTGTTTTATGTTATTTATAAAAAGGAAGGTACCTTCTCTTTGCGATTCCACCACTATTAAACATTAAACTTAGATACCTATAGACTATAGTTACTGCGATCTGCTAGTATAATGTATAATTTTTGTATTTTTATTACATAATGTTCGTCTTTGTATTTATATAATAGCTAGATAGGTATGTACTTATTTATATCAGCAGTACAGTCTAATATCGCATATGCGATGTGCATGGCAGGTACCTCCTAATCATGTATTTAGATATATTTATTTTATTGTATTAATACTAATAATTTGTTGTTTAATACTATTGCTGCATTAAAATATTTTTAATTGTATGTTAAAAAGTATAATATTGTGTTAGTCTATTTAACTTAACATTGAATTTGCTAGGAATTTATTTTATATTTTATTAAATTAAAATATAAGTATTTCGAAGGGTTGTTACTTGTAACTGGGATTTTACCACTTAATAATGTTCAAAATTCGAGTCTTGTAGATTTTCAGATTAAAGAGGGTTAGAGTTAGACATCTGCTCGTATATTTTAAGAAATATTGCTACAAGTTATTACCGCAGATAAAAATCAAACCCAACCGACCCCAATGATGGTTTACCTTTTGAAAACGTGTTTGTTAAGAAGGGTCTATGGGCTAAGAAGCGTGAACAAAATAAGAATAATGTTGGGTAGGTGGGAATATATATGCATGATATATATATATATATAAATACAAAATTCATCCATGTATTTTACTGGGTCCTATCCGTCTCATTCTTGGTTTTTTCATCATTTTTCTCCCCTATAAAATTCCACCTGAACCATAAATACTGTCAAACAATAGGTAGATAATATTTTTACAACTTATTTCAAGACGTTTATTGTTCTTTCTAAACGTTTACTTATACACAATTGTCTGATATTTTCTTAATTAGAGACTGAGTGCCTGCGTTATCCTTCGAACAAGGGGAAGAAATGTATAGCAGGAGGGATATTTTTGACACTCAATCATTAATGCATCCTTATAGGCTATATTTTATTATTTAAAAAGAAAACTACTTTCATTGTGTAGTGTTTAATTAAAAAACAACATAATGATTTTTTATAGAGTTAACTTTTTTTACTGATTATTGTCTATTTGTTTGAAATAATAATATATTTTTTATGTTATAATGTTATCTACTTATTTTAATATATATTGATACCTACTGAATTTGGTTTTTACTCATAAAACATGTTTTGGGATGACATGTATTACGAATGTTAATGTTGAATTGTCCATATGAAAATTACACACTTTACTAAGGCACTGAGGTCAGTTTTAAATTTCATGATAATTTTTGAGATAATATGATAAACGTTTAGGGATAGAATATACATAATATACACATTGTTTGAGTTAATTTTTCTTATACTATGGTTTATCATCATCATTATTTTCATGTATAATAAATAGGTAATAAAAAAGTAATGCATGCATCCATTTTTTTTTTTTTTAATAGTAAATATTATGCTGGATAGTTTGTTAAGTTGAAGTATTTCAGGATTTATAAATTTAATTTTTAAATGTAGAAAAACTATTTTTCCAGTGAAAATATTTTGAACTGCAGATTTAATATTAATACATTTTATGCATATAAATATATTTTTTCTAAATCTGGTTTTATTGTGAACTATCTTATTTAACTAGATAAATTAAACTAGTAATCTAGTAAGTTTTTATTATTGATTTTCAGAACTATAACTAAGAAAAAATTATTCTATTTATTGTAAAATATAGCTGATAAGAGGTTATTGTAATCTGTATTGTATCGTATTTGTTAGGAAATTAAAATAGGATTATTAGGTCACGATTCTCACTGCCTAGTGGCGGCAACCAGTTCGTTTGATCAACAAAACAACATTAACATTGAACTGGTAAATAACCACTAGGTATGAGATAGAATAATAAAATAAAAGCCATTGTCCCCGGAGGCTAGATTAAATCATAACAGGTTTTTTTTGGTACTTCGAGCCTAAAAGAAATGAGCCTTTTAATTTGTATTGTAGGTACATTTGTGTTGTGGTACTTATTTTAAAAAATACTATTTTTTTTATGAATTTATTCTTTTTTCAAAGCCGACTGATTAATAATAGGCGTCTTGTCGGGACCCCTGTGGTTGTCGGATAAATCAAACACAGTTTGTAAACGTAAGAAATACTATGGATACTAGAGCGTTTTTTTGTTAATTTACTCCAATCTGATCAGTCGTTTGTTGAATTAAATAAACAGGTTTTTAAATCTTTTACCGTATGGTGTTTTTAATTAATATTGGGTTGACATTTTAATTTTATACATAGAGTTTAATAAATACGTGTTAATTTTTAAATACTTTTAGTTGGTACATTGATGATTATAAATTATATTTTACAGCTGAATTTAATCTAAAGTTATCTTCAAATAAAGCTGTAATAAAATAATATAAACATATTTTTTAGGAATTTATCTCATAAATTAAATTTATCCGCTAACGATTTTCTAGAGAAGACAGAATAAAATACTTCAGACTTAAATATACAAGTGACAGGTTGATGTCGGTTACAATTTACTTACAATTCATCTCTAGTTTATCATTTTAAACAGTTATATAGTATGATATCACAAAATAATTACCTAACTGAAAGTCATTGAAACTTACTGGTTACAATTAAAAACTGTTCAAAAAGTTGTATACATATTTAGTAGCAGGTAAGTTAAATTAAATTAAATGTAAGTAGGTATAAAAATAGCGTGTACAATATTCTTAATTATTAAAAAAAATAATAATAATACTTATTTAAGAGTAAGCTACAAAATAAATTTACCAATAAAACAATTCTATAATAATTTTATCATATAATTTTATCATAATTATTATGATAAAATTATTTTTCAGGTTCATATTATGTTTTGATCATTGATTATAAAATAGATGATAGTCTATTTTATAATTAATGGTTTTAATACTGACTTCCTCTGATTTATACAGTCGTGAAGTTTATTTTTATTTTGGAATATTTGTGTAAAAATAATATAATAGGTATACTTAAATATAAATCGATGTTAAAATACGATAAACTAGTTTCCAAGCCTTAGATAATACGAGTGTGAAACCACTAAGTAATATTGTTTTCCCATGTATTAAGTTGTTGATCGCATGTCTACCAAAAAATTAGTTGAAATATTTTATAAGTTTAGCTGCTTAGATTAACTTTATTTTTGTACGTTGATGCTGAAAATTTTGAATCATAATTGCAATATTCTATGAGTTTCTGCCTTCTGGCAGATAATTTTGTGGTATTTTATTTTTATTTTTTTCTGTAATATTTAATAATACATTTATATATAATAATTAGTTGATTTATACGTACTTACCATACTGCATTAGTCGTGTCTAAAAAATTTATTTTTGTGAAATTATATAAAGTATAAAGTTTATTTTTAATTCCATACAGAACCTATTGTATGGGTTATTAGGATAAAAAAAAGAAGTAATCATGTCATTTAGTTTACCTGCGCTAGTATGTTAGTTCATATTGAATAAAAAATTAATTTTGTTAAGAGTTGCACTTTTTCTAGGTAGTTTTATGGATGACAA